AATATTAGTAATATTAATATAAAATATAATATAAAATATTAATAATATTTTAATAATAAAAATATTAACTCCTATTAAGACGAAGATGTAATAAAATAATATACACTATATTTTCATTCTAGCTATTATTATCTCCAATGAGTAGAAGAAATATTCGTACACTATACTGCAAAAGGATTCATCCTACCAGAAAATCCTAATTTTGATAAAAGTTTGTGTACCCAAACATTGATTAAAATTAAAACTTTCTGGACAAATGAATTTTCTTAAAATATACCATGACAGTGACTCTCTACCCACTCTAATTACACGTAACAAGTCAGTAGTTCGAGTGTCAAGACGATAAATGAAAATAAGAAATTAAAGGAGAAATTGAAGGGAAAAGAAAAGAATTTTCACATATTTTACCCCCTCCATGAGATTTCTTCCCAAGCTACTACGCAACTTGATTACAGGCAGTCCCTCTGTGGTCCAGTACGTCATAATAGCAACGGACATAAAAGCCGAAGAAAAGGAGGGATTCCATGAGAAAGGGGGTCCTGTGCTTAGGAGGGATCTTGCACTGCGTGACCTTGTACTATCCTTCGAACACTATTGTCGGGTTCTGAGGAGTTGGCAGAATGGAGGAATGCGGCTCCTATTGGCTGCTTATACACCACAGTTACACGCTACTCACTCACCGACAGACCAATGTCTCCTAAGTGTTATCTGCGAGTAGTAGTGCAAGTGTGTTCCCACCCTTCTCTGTGCCCTCGTCTTTGCTCAAAAAGTGCCAGCTCCTGAACTCACAGCTGTATGTCCGCATCTGTAGTTCAAGGCAATTGTTCTTTCGAACACGTGCAACATTGCCAGAACTCGTGTACGTTGCTTCTTGAGAACTGCATTTCAGTGGGAACACTTTGTTTCTGGTTAGAATTCCTTTCGATGCAAATTTCGATTCTTGCTGAATCTCGGTTTCCGTTATCCAAGATCGATGTTAGTGTAATAGAGAAGAAAATTAATTCCGAGATTCTCTAAGCTACGAATTTTCGAAATTTCCAAACGTAGAATTATTACATTTTGTGTACTTTGCTTTCATTTTATTTGTTGATTTTCCTTTTCCTTTTTTAGATTGGGGTTCAGGAATTTGAAAATTCCTATGCCTCGATTTTTGGGGATTTTTACATCTTGATATTCATATTTTTGGATTTTAGAATTTTTTATATCCCAATTTTTGGAATTTTTATATCGAAGTGTTATTTTTGAATCTTTGAATTCTTGTACCCCAGTTTCTGGAATTTTTATATCATCATATTCTTATTTTTGAATTTTCGAATTTTTATATCGTCATGCTCTTATTTTTGAATTTTCGAATTCTTATATCGTCATGCTCTTATTTTTGAATTTCCGAATTTTTATATCGTCATGCCCTTATATTTGAGTCTTCGAATTTTTGTATCCCAGTTTCTGGAATTTTTATATCATCATATTCTTATTTTTGAATTTTCGAATTTTTATATCGTCATGCTCTTATTTTTGAATTTTCGAATTCTTATATCACCATACTCTTATTTTTGAATTTTCGAATTCTTATATCACCATACTCTTATTTTTGAATTTTCGAATTTTTATATCGTCACACTCTTATTTCTGTAATTTCGAATTTTTATATCCCAATTTCTGAAATTTTTATATAATCATATTGGTATTTTTGAATTTTGATACTCGACATGTTGGATTTAGAAGATTTCGCATTTAAATTCAAATTTGTAGATTTTTCAATATCCCAAAAGCTTAAAATTATTTTGTAATAAAGAAATAAAAATAAATTCAACTAATAGAGCATTCTTTATTTATATTTCGTTATTCTGTATGTTTTTAATTAAATTTTTCTTGGAATTTTTATATGGAATAATTTAAGACACTTAGTTAATATCGAAAACATTTGAATATTTCTCCTTCTCAATGTAACTTCTCGAATAAACTACACTCTTTTCATCGACTAAAATACCGTATTTCTTGTAAACAGAACTAAATTTGAAGATTCGCTGAATGTGTTTAGATGAGCTTTTACCGTGAACGAGTCGCGTGTAGTTCGAATTTCACCCAGACGCGAGCTAAAATTTTTGAAACTCGAAGTCAAAGATTTTATAAATTATTTTACCAATTAAAATAATTTTCTAGAATTAAATATCGATATCTCGATAAACCTCAAGTAATCGAACTAATATTAGATACGTACAAGAATACGATCCATAAAATGCAATTACTCTATTTTATCCGTTAATTATCGACCTGTATTTGCTTCACCGTTACATAAATTTGTCCTTTGAACTACGAAAGTAATTAACCGAAAGCTAATTCTACGCCGTGTCGAAAGTTCGCACAATTTCTCACCGTTATTAATGGTCTGGGTTTATCCCAAACCTAGTAACTTATTAATCACGTTACGAATATTCCAACTGTTACCTTTAATCCATTGTACACCGTGTAACATATGCATATACGAATTATATTCGTATTTTCAATGAAATTGTTTTCAATGGTAATTTATGTTCAATTCACGAGTGCAGAAAATATTTTTCAACAAAACAAAAAATTTGCAATAAATATTCAGCATCCTTCAAAAAAATCACTATCGTATGCAGAATCTTCGACAAACTTCATAAAATATTAACGATGTACTATAAATACCTATGAAATTATATTTAAATATCAAATAACAATAACATAACACCGATAATAATTTTAAAAAATTAATAAAAATATTAAGAAAGTTTATAAAACGCGTTATTATCGAATTAACGTGAAACATGAATAAAATTAATATACAATAACAATATCGATAATAATTTTTAAAAAATTAATAAAAATATTAAGAAAGTTTATAAAACGCGTTATTATCGAATTAACGTGAAACATGAATAAAATTAATATACAATAACAATATCGATAATAATTTTTAAAAAATTAATAAAAATATTAAGAAAGTTTATAAAACGCGTTATTATCGAATTAACGTGAAACATGAATAAAATTAATAAATAAACCTAAATCGAAAACCTGCGAATAAGTAAAGCAGTGTATCTTTTTAAATGGCTTTGTGTAATTACTTGTACCTAGGAGTTTAAAGCTTGATTTGAGCCGATTTCCTTAACTGACCTACATCTTGCGAAAAAAGGAAGCAAAAAAAAAAAAAATGGAAAAAAGAGATGGACCGTAACGAGCACTAGTTACCACTTCTAATTTCGTAACGGCAAACACAGAGAAAAAGTTTGTTAGAACTATCGCGTACAATGTTCGTCATAAAACTAATATCAACTAGGTCAGTAACCCAACTCTAAAAATCTACGCCGATAAAAGTATATTAACGGTTGGAATAGAATTAAAACATGGCTAATACCAAATGCAACGATGATATTAATTCTAATTTTCTGATTATCTATCCGAAAAGTGCTTCAGGCTACGTTTCCTGCATAAATTAAACTCGAGCAAAAAACACACGCGCAATTTCGATTAATTGAAAATGAAGAATTCAAGGATACGAATAATTCGTTTGAACATTAATTAAATATTTAAATATACATTAATGCAATTAAATACGTTCATTTAAATATTCATTTGAATATCTATATTTAATTCCTATATTATAATTACTTCGAAAATAATATTCTATATTATTTGATGATTCAGCGTTTAACTGATTGTAACGAGTTGAGATAATTATCGAGTGCAGGGAAATCTTAACCTTTCTTAAAATTCATTATCAACTCTATGATAAGATTAATACACGGCTATTTTAATTATTTATGATTGTATGGAATGAATTTTGGAAAGAGGTAGAAAATAAGTGTATAGCTTGCACAAACTTTTAAACACGGGAAGATATAGAGAACAAAGCTTGAAAGCTCTTGAAAAGCACGCTAAGAAGCATGTTTATCCCCTAAGCTCATTAATGTGACTCTAAACGGAACTAGGTATTTTGTTGCTCTTTGCACTCTGCGAGGAATCTCAAGGTGAATTTTTAACCCTCTATACCACGTGACCTTGAGATGTGTAAGTATAAAATAAAAGAAAAGAATTGTGTTATAAAACTGCAACGAGCTACAAATGTAAATTGCGCGAGCAGTAATGTCCCTAGATGCACGTGACATGTGTACATTTTTCAATGAACTTAAATATCAATCCAATCTTGTTTCAGCGAAATAAATAAACCGAGAGAAAGATTTTATGACATGCCCGAATTTAATCCGAGACTTGAAAACGATAAGTTTCCAAACCTGCTAGTTACTTTTTTGCCTCTTATTTATTCTTGTATAACCACGCACGTGTCGGAATGGCCGAAGCACAACGAGAAAAAAGAAAATGAAGTATCTTAAATTTGCAGTACATTCATGTGGCACATACTACTAGTACGATTACAACATTCGCCAAGAATTTTGGAATGACTCAATTTTTGTACGTATTGCTACAGACAAAAATCGAAACAAAATTACGAAAGTAGAAATTACTAGAAAATTAGCATTTTTTAAATGTAAGGTTAGAAAAGAATTCAGGATTTAAATAATTTTTAAAATCTGAATGAGAAAAATTCGACGTAGACTAGGTTATGTTTAATGTCCCTATGCGTCCGATTCTGTGAAGATTTATTCGGCATTGTTTTATTGCGTATTACCTAATTAACATCGTAAACTGTAATGAATATTTAAATAACGGTGATATTTGACGTACTCGATATTACGGTTTTCCCAAAACGCGATGTTATGCATATTATATTCGATTCGATTTTATTTTCATGCGGACTTTACGCTGCGAATGATAATACATAGAAGATAAACGCATGACACAACAGTAAAACGTTTCAAACCTTCAAGGTAGTATTACCGATGCTTATTTCATCGAATAAACGTCCACGTCTCTCGATCAGTAGGAAAGATTATCATAAACCAGTTGTAAAAACAGAGAAAACACTTACCAACTGTTGCAGTGGTAAACGATGCGTTGAGTTTCCTTTCTTATAAATTATACACTGCACTTCACAGTATATGCATTTGTCCAATGCTTGATGGTTCTTATCACTTTAAAAACACGGGCACCGTTTACGTGTAAGTAGAAGCAGAATCCTTTCTACGTAAGGAAAATCATCACAATCACTTGCCCAAGAAGTTTGATTCAATGTAAATTAAAGGCTGTCATTTCATGGAAAATCAACGATTCGAACGCTTCTCGGATATACATGGAAATTCCTTAAAGCACTGATTGGAAGCACCATTAAGCCAGTTTGCGTAGCGAACGAAATAATTGTTATCGATGAAAGTTTCATCAAGAAGAAAAAATTACCGATGTTCGACTAGCGACCACAAAAGTACCGGTTCTAATACACACTTGCCGCAGGATAACACGCAACACACAATAATGTTTACATTTACGAACGCAGGTCGCGTCGTTACTGACACGTTCTCGTTGCAATCCGTTTGAACAGCCATTCGTTCGTTGATATTACCGAAGAAACTAGGCATAAGAGTATAAGGGAAAAAAGAGTATCGTTACAGCTGCCATACACTAATCTCGTGTAAATTCCCCGACGCTACGTTACATTTCGCACGTATGACTTTTCAACACTCGTCGGCGTGTTAATTGAGCGCGATTGTAGGTTAAGAACGGTCCGTGGCTCGAGCACGATCTCGATAATGATGCGAGGTTTCAAAGAATCGCGGGCATTGATCGTTAAGCTGCTGAGTGAACACGAAGTGAGTAACTTTCAAGCACGTGCCACCGTACGCGTTGCGGTACAAAAACCTTCTGACGCGCAAGTCCCGCCAGCATTGGCCAACCTACGTGCTTCGGAATGTACGCGCCATATTAACTACGACTTCGGAGTCGACATCTAGCGGAGGCGCCATGAACCACCACGAAGTGTTTTATCCCGCAAGATAAGAAAGTCTGATATTTTGAAACGTAAACAAAATATATCAGGTACGTATCTGCATCTTGAGAAATAATTGTAATACGTGTTTATGTAACATTACTTCGTGATTGTGATGCGACGATTGTTATGAAAAGAAATAAAACGTATTAGATACGATTTAAATATATTGCAACATGGCAGCCTTGTTTTGAATAAGAAAAATTATTTCAAATATTATACTACCATGCGCACCTTTGTTTGCATAATTGATTATACACTACAAGTGTCACAATGTTGTACACAAGAACTGAGAAGCACGTAATGTTATTTTTCAGACGCTATCAGACAGAGACACTTCTCAGTTATCTTGACACATGTATGTATCATCTTTATTGCCTCAGTGTTTATATAGCCGAGAATAATCAGACACTCGATTCTAAATCTAGTTAAATGTACAACATACTTATACTTACCCTGTGAGGCTGCTTGGGTTTGATGTTGAGCTGCAGTTCTCTGCAATAGAAACAAATGATTGTTTCAATTAGATTTCAATGCAAATAACATAAAGGTAAATAATGCATTTAAATGAACAATTATATTATAATCATATATAATAAAAAATGCAAATTTTAAGTACATTTTGAAGAATTAATCGTATTCCCGATGCTTCCAGGCTCTTCGAATCCAAAGAACGACTTCTTGGTTTTGCCCCAAAGTAATCATCCTTCTTTCCACCTTTTATCCATCGAAAATACGAAGACATATTGCACTTTCAAGTTTTTACGCACTAACACAGTATCACATAATCATATAACTTCAAGTCTGGTGATATAAAATATTCGCTGTATTTCTCTGTAGAGCAAGGTAGTCAAATAAGTTACGTATATCACGTTTCAAACAATTTCAAGATGGAAATTACTGCTTTCTGTCGCGAACGAGCAGAATAGAAGAAACAAAGGAAGCTAAATAACAATAATCAGAAGGTCGACTGAACGTTATTGTTTTCGGTGAAATTGCATTAACAATTCATCACGCTAAACCGGAAACGAAACGTTGCATCTATGAATAGTCATGCACGAAGGAAATAAATATTTCTCGAATATGGTTCGTACGTTACTATTAAAATCGGTTCATCGCAAATATTAACACGACAAAAGGAAACTTATCCATTACCCGTGATATCAAGAGCATTGTACACTAAATAACGATAAGAACTGAGCCCTAAAATACAATAACTCTGCCTGCACGCTTTACATTCTTAAGTGGTGGTGTGTTTTTATTATCTCTTGTGATAATATTTGCCATATTCCATGCATTAAATGTGAATTAATTTTAAAGTAAAGCTGTATCTGCCTCAATTAGGTCAGGCTAATTTCAGCCTTGTACTAAATTTAGTTGTGAATGAATAATTGGTATAATAAGTATTACGTGCTTACTGATATAGTAATTATTAGCATCATAATAATAATAATAGCATTATATTACTATAATACTATAATACTAATAATAGTAATAATACTATAATAATTATTAGCATAATAATAATAATAATAATAATAGTATTATATTACTTATTATGACTATAATATTATTGATATCATTAGTATATAATTATTCTAAAATGAAATTATTGCAGATTTGTCAAGTAATTGGAAATTCTCTTCAAAAATTTTCTCTCGATTACGATGATAACTTTACTATGAAAAGTAAATGAATAATCTGACGTAACGACATCTGCAACAGATATGAAACACAGATGCTATTACGACACCAACGTCTCATTACATCATTATCATAGTTGAATTTATCTGGATATTCATAGCAGATTAATTTATAAAATCATTCACAATTTAATACACATTATTTCTCTTGCTTCTATTTTCTACGTAGAAAATAAACACTTCGTAGTATAATTTACGCCTTTATTTACGCTATAGCAAGATTGCCTTTTCTATTACACACTCGACCAAGAAAATATTAATTTCTGAACTACTCTAACTTTATACCAAAAATAATTTATATCGATATTTTTACAGACATTACAAATTTTAATGACGATGACAATACCGCTACAAAATTTTAATGATAATACCATTACAGAGATTTTCTATTACACACTCGTCCAAGAAAATATTAATTTTTCAACTACTCTAACTTTTTGCAAAAATAATTTGCATCGATATTTCTACAGACATTACAAATTTTAATGACGATGACAATACCGCTATAAAATTTTAATGACAATACCACTAAAAATTTTAATGACAATACCACTACAGAGATTTTCTATTACACACTCGTCCAAGAAAATATTAATTTCTGAACTACTCTAAGTTTATAGTGAAAATAATTTGTATCGATATTTTTACAGGCATTACAAATTTTAATGACGATGACAATACCACTACAGAGATCCTTGTATGGTGAAACTGTAACTGATAATGGAAAGCAATAAACAGAGCATACGTAATAAAAGTAACTATTAAGGAGAGAATACTGTGTCCCACTGTCTGCATTATTTTTGCAATTTTTCTGGCACTATCAATATCATAATAAGACAAGTTCAAATAATTGATCAAATAATAATGTTCAGGTATATATTATATTTTTATATCTATTTTTATATCATTTCTAAATTTCTCAAATTTTTTCCATTTTCTTTTTTCATTTCCTTTGGATCGTTTAAATTATTTATCAAATAATAATATTCAAGTATATATTACATTTTTATATCTATTTTTATATCATTTTTAAATTTCTCAAATTTTTTCCATTTTCTTTTCTCATTTCCTTTGGAGAATGAATATTTTTCTCTGTACTTTTACAGTTCACCCGATGATGTACTCTATTTATAACAAGCATTAATTCCCATTGCACGTGAAAGAGAAGAAAAAGAAGTATCGTAATTAGCGAGGCCTTCAGGCAAGTAAACAAAAATCCGGTTAAGAAGGAGCAGCGTGAAAAATATAACGCAAATTGATAAAAACATCGTCGATCGTTCGATCCAATGTTATGCAAATGATCTCTTCGTCTCGCTCTCGATTTACACAGGTTATCGCTTCCATAAATCGTCTGATAAAAAAAAAAAAAAAAAAAAAAAAAAGAAAAAAACGAGAAGAGAGAGGAAAAAAGAGAGAAGATATGCACGGCATAGTTCGCTGCGAAGACAATGGATCTAGGTTGCCAAACAGGGTAGGATGAAAAATTTCCAGAAATTTTTCTCTCCCTCGGTCCAATTAGATCGCGATAAGCAGAGCAAAGGTGCAACAGAGTGAAATGCAAAATATTTCTATCCGATCGTATCTCTCGAGTAAACATTCCACAGCGTAGCAACGTAAACATTGCTCAAATTACATCGCATGTCTGCAATTGTCTCGTCACGATGCTGAAAAATGACGAAATCACGAGAGACTACCATCGAAATCGAGCACGTAAGGTGCTTCGAGTATTACGGTCCGAGGCTCGGATCGACGAAGAAACTGAAGGAAAAGAGGACGAAGAAGAGTAGCATGAAAACTGCTAGCTTTCAATTTAGAAGAACCGAACAATAGGGAGAAGCTTCGTCAATGAACTCGAGACATACTCCGTGACCGTAAGTTACCATTCAGCGTCTTTTATGCAGCTGTTAAGAAAACTGCGACTATACGATTCTTTTCGTTCAATAAGGCGAATAAATATAGGGATGACTGAGGTCCAGTCACTCGTCCAATGACAATGCTGCGTAACATGTGCTCAGGTTTTCATCCTTTATGGACTGCAGGAATTCTTAGTTCCCTTACCGGAAGTAAACGGGTAAAAATTCTCAATTCTCTTACCGGAAGTGCACGAGTGAAGATTCTTAGTTCCCTTACCGGAAGTAAACGGGTAAAAATTCCCAATTTTCTTACCGGAAGTGCACGAGTGAAGATTCTTAGTTCCCTTACCGGAAGTAAACGGGTAAAAATTCTCAATTTTCTTACCGGAAGTAAACGGGTAAAAATTCTCAATTTTCTTACCGGAAGTGCACGAGTGAAGATTCTTAGTTCCCTTGCCGGAAGTAGCTGAGAAAAAATTCTTAATTTCCTTACCGGAAGTAAACAGGTAAAATCCTTAATTTGTTTACTGCGAGTGCACGAGTGAAGATTCTTAGTTCCCTTACCGGAAGTAAACGGGTAAAAATTCTCAATTCTCTTACCGGAAGTGCACGAGTGAAGATTCTTAGTTCCCTTACCGGAAGTAAACGGTTAAAAATTCTCAATTTTCTTACCGGAAGTGCACGAGTGAAGATTCTTAGTTCCCTTGCCGGAAGTAGCTGAGAAAAAATTCTTAATTTCCTTACCGGAAGTAAACAGGTAAAATCCTTAATTTGTTTACTGCGAGTGCACGAGTAAAGATTCTTAATTCGCTCACCGGAAGTAAGCGGGTAAAAATCCTTAGATTGCTTACGGGGATTAAGGCAACGAAAATTCTCAGTTTCCTTAGAGGAGGTAAACAAGTAAATATTCTTAGTTCGTTTAAACTATCGACAAGAAGACTAAGAGATATTCTTCGAATAATATTAACGATGAAAAGCAGCGAGAAAAATAATAAAATTATTTCTCGTCTAAGCATTGGAGATATTGTATCTAATAAATATACTGTGACAGCTTATATCGAAATATTCGTATATAAAGAGTTAAAAGCGGGGTTTTAAAAATGGCGTAATTTTATGAACAAGCATTGAGAGTGAACCTTAAACGCGCAAGTGCAGTAAAGTATTCAAGATTTGGAATATCAAGCAAGAGTTTAGAATACATTGTAAAGCACATGCGTCACTGGCTACGTGCAATAATCGCTAGAAGCGAAATTCCTTAAATAGAAAATATCCTTTGATTTTAAGTAAAAGCTGAAGAACGTGGGT